TAATAATAATAATATCTCTACTCCTCATTCTAACTACGAGAATTAGCCCAGAAGTCGGAGACTTGTGCGGGAGAGGAGGCGGCATATTATTATTAAGCAGGCCGCATTTGCGCCCAGGAACGACTTATGTTGGTAGGCCCTAACCACCATTCAGTGCAGGAATGAGGGGAAGCTGGAAAACCTCATTAATTAGGGGGGTGGTCAAATGCCAACCGGTGTCAATCTCTCACATTGACCCAAGCCAACATTCTTCCACCATACCATACCTGCACAGAGGGTGCCAATCTTCCGTACAAGTATAGCTAATCTACGGTCTACCGGCCGCGGGATTCGAAACCCGGGCAGATAGCACACATCGATTTAAGTACTGACGCTTTAAACCGTGCGGCTATCGACCGACTTAAATATATGTATAATATAATCTTTTATTTTCTACCAAGGAAAAAGGTATTTCACAAAAGTAAATTTTTAAAACAAAGCAACTGCGATAAGAAACAATAAAATGTAATTTTTTTCTTGATAACTTCCCACTTGCATCCCATACGCATTTAAATTTTTTTCGAAAATTTAATTTATTACAGAAATTTAGCTACTTTGCCTACTCATTCATTTCAAATAAGTTATGTAATTGTTAAAAAATGGAACGCTCTACATGAGGTAGTCAAAAACTAAATTTTTTTAGATTTCCTTCAGAACTATCCAGCTCATATTCGACCAATTCATCGGCATGCCAGGACGTTCTTCCAGGACGAGTAGGGAACGAAAGATAAATGTCCGCCTTCAAGAACACGATGTCGAAGAGTGTTATTTTGTTTTCAACCAAGTTTTCGATGTGCGATTTCCAGTAACTATGAGGATGCGTTCTACGGAAGATAAGCTGCAATTGCTGTATAAGCTATTCACACTGTTAAGCCTTGCGGTATGTACACTTATTGCAATGTAAAGGGCATTATACACTAAACATTATGATGCCATCTTTCTCTTCACTGTCACGAGGTACGAGATATCATGGTATGAGGAATATACCAGTCGGACTTATTTGAATGAAAGAAAGAAGAAGCCAGACAGATAAACTCTCATTCTTCCATAAATACGTATCTCTAATTGTTAAAAAACTAGAGAATTAGAGCAAAATAATGAGCCTTTATCTTACGTATTTATCGTCCACTGCTTTTGAGCTGCTAATATTATTCTGGTTTCTGAACTATTACTTAAGAAAGGTGCATTCTATACAAAGGTTAAGAGGCATACAAATTTTGATAGGAAACGATCCATAGGAACATGTAACAGAATATTTTCTTTAGCCTCAATTCACTATTTTTAGACAGTTAAAAATCTCCCAGACCCCACCTAAATTTGACCATTGCCATTGGTTAATTTTTATTCAATTTTACTGTAGACAGTTTGTCATATATTTATATTACCCATATCTCTATTTTGGATGAAACCGTTATTTATTCCAAAATTCTCATAATAAGCAGGCATTACTGAGAGATAGAGACGCCTCTCTCATAACACCATCTGCTACGAATAATTAGGGGAGAGCATGTGGCACTAGTTGGTCTTTCTTCATTTCAGCTGGTTATTCAACTTAAAGCGGATATTCACTTGTTTCAATGCTCCGTAACGTAACAACGAACATATTACGGCCTGTTGCTAAAGGTGACACGGTTCGCTGCGAAAGTATGTGTGGTTTTGGTCGTACCATTCATTCCGTAACGTAACAAAATAAGGTTACGAGACGACATAGGAACATAAACTCGTAGTATGAACCTGACTGCAATAATGGATTCGTCACTGCAATTGCAGTTAGCAGCAACGTCATATATTTTTATTCATCATACAATTTTGAAGAATAAGAAACGGAAATCTCCGGAAATCTTTTCTTTACTCCACTCCACTCAAAACCGACAACTGATGGTTCGTCCCGGATTAATTACGCTTGTCAAATTTGTTACACGTACCATGCAACAATTTTCCGTCTTAACGTAACATGTTCGGATATACAGGGTGTCCCAAAATAGAAGGCCATACCATTAACCACATATTCTTTGGAAAAAAATAATGCGACTTTCCTTATGCCATTTTTTATTTGGGCGTCCCTGTTTCAATATACAGGGTGTTAAAGTTACATTTTAAAAAACTATTTTTGTTAATAATCCCATTGTTTTGTAAGATACACACTTGAAATTTTGCACGTACTTTTATCTTATTCGGGCATACGTATCATATAATTTTGGTGAAAAAAAATCGAAGGGCGAATGGAGGTAACTGAGAGATGCAGTACCCTTTATTCCCTCCAATTATTTCTGAGTACGCCTATGCAGTTTTTTCTTGAAATTTCAAACGTAAAATTTTCTTCCGATCATTTTATCTCTTTTGTAAATTTTTGTTTAAATGCTCCGTTTTGGAGAAAAATGACATGTATTGATGGGTTACAAATGTCTTAGCGGCTGATGAATGTCAGGAAAAAATAGTGTGCTGTGAAAACAAATGTCCATCTTGTCAACATAATGACATTAGTTACTACATATTAATTTTTTGATTTGGCAAATCGAGAAGTAGTAAGTGGTTATTAAGTTTTTAATTTAAGACAATATGGCTAATGGGGCGACAGTAGTTAATTTGACTTTTGTAGATATGGCAAATATGCATTTAATAACCACCCATGGTCGTTTTTCTCCAAAACAGAGCATTTAAACAAAAATTTAGAAAAAAGAAAATTCTACGTTTGATTTTTTCAAGAAAAAGCTGCATAGGCGTACTTAGAAATAATTGGAGGTGATAAAGGGTACTGCATTCCTCAGTTACCTCCATTCGCCCTTCGATTGTTTTCACCAAAATTACATAAAAAGTATGCCGGAATAAGATAAAAGTACGTGCAAAATTTCAAGTGTGTATTTTACAAAACAATGGGATTATTAACAAAAATAGTTTTTTAAAATGTAACTTTAACACCCAAACACGCCCAAATAAAAAATGGCATAAGGAAAGTCGCATTATTTTTTTCCAAAGAGTATGTGGTTAATGGTATGGCCTTCTATTTTGGGACACCCTGTATATATAATGGATACCGGCCTTTAGAGGTTTAGTTTATTCTCTGATTTGAAGGACTTTCAAATGAGACGTTTTCTACTGAGCACTTTTTGCACTTTGGGGTCATTCCATGTCAACTGACCCAACGCTCCCAGTCGGCCATCTCAAATTTTCACGAAATTTTGCACAAATTTAGCTTTGGTCTACAGGGCCATCTTGCAATGATCACCCGCGTGCTCCAAATTCCCTTAACTTTGATTGCATGTTTCTTCAGTTTGGATCAACGAAGAGGGATGAAATTTAGCTGACTAGGACAACTTTTTGTGCCAAATCCAGTCGTACAAATAAAAAAGCAATTGTAGTCAAACCTAGATTGCAAATTGGTAGCAAAGTTGAGTAAAAAAATCAGTTTCTGAAATAATGACCATACTATGTGTGCTTAATTTAAAAAATTTGGGAGTTATGGTTCTGAAAGCAAAGGCTGGCAAAAATGCCAAAAAATTCGTTTTGCAAATTTTAAGCAGCAAAAATCATAATGTGGGTTATCTTTAATTTTTTTCTTTGTTGTTTCTTCTACCAAATTTATTGTTTTTCATTTTGTGCCCGGGCCTTCTAGATAGAAATAGCTCATGTTTTCAAGGTTACTCCTCGCACGCAATACATAAAGGGTGAGTTAAGAAGAATGGGTCAATATTAAGCTGAGGATACTAGACACCACAATATCATATTTGAGCTCATCATGCCTTATAAGAAATACAGAAATTTCTCAATAATTGAGAGTTTTGATAGCATGACTGGAAATTGGTATTGTTGGGTTTTTTGGTGTGAGAATTACGAATTTGAAGCTTATTTTGACGTTGCTCCCAGAGGGACTAATTTCACCGTATTATTTAGGTAAATCAAAATATATATTTTTTTATCTGCTAGCTATGCTTAAAAAATCTAAAAGAACGTTTAATTCTACATGAAAAATTTACTCTTGGTTACGTCGCCTAACTTTATCGGTTTGTGAGTTATTTTCATTTAAAAGTTTCAATGTATTTTGTGGTAATTTTTTATTATCAAAAGATAAGAAAATAATAATAATAATAATAATACGGTGAAAATGTTGATTGTTATAATAAGTGTAAAATCATTTCTAATTGGTTTCAAAATTTATCTGATACTTTTATACCTCAAGAAATACAAGAAACATTAGCATATGGTCCAAATTTTGCTTTACCTATAACCTATGAGAATGACTTACCTAT